TGCGATGGATGAGCCAAGGTCGATGTTGTTCCACCTCCTTATGTGATGAAAATGAGATAAGGTTGAACAAGTTCTTCTCATTATGAACTTATTATCCCTCATCGGATGAGTTCTTCTCATTATGAACTCTACATTGGAAATATTGATCCACCTCCTTCTGTGATGGAATCAAACAAAGTGACGATGCTGATCCAACTCCATATGCGATGGATGAGCCAAGTATTGGTGTTGTTCCAACTCCTTATGTAATGGAAATGAGCTAAGGTTTAACAAGTTCTTATCATTATGAACTTATTCTAGTAAAGGGTTCCCAAGCCATCTTCATAACATGTTAAGGTTGATTCCGATTTTGGCCCATTACAGACTTGCGAATCGGATTCTTCTTAGGGGATCACACTGCTAAAAACGTGCCTCGAAACTGATATCCAGATAGGAAACTTAGGATGTTTCCCCCTACTTAAATAAATCGGGATTGAGCTTAGGTTTAGAGCTATGATATACAATAATCATATATATTCATATAAGTGTAAGCATTAACCTAAAAGAAAATCTTTGTTATTTTTTCCTTTTTTCCCCTTGAAATAACATAATGAACTGTAAATTAAATAAGATCAAACTCATAATTTCCAAAATCCTAAATATCGGGTAACCAACTCATGACTCAACTCTCAAATTGTTTTGGAAAACAAAAGTCTCCAGTGGAGTTGCCAACTTGTCGACAATGTTTTCGCCCGGGTGGGGAAAAACCTAGTACGACTTAGGGGTTTCCTTTGAAAAGGTTTTAAAATATGAGGAGTCTCCACCAATCATTTTAAGACGCGACCGGGACACCATAAAAATCGGGTGATTTTAATAAAACATTTTATTTTATCAAAATACCAAGTTTATGGCCTACGAAAACCGACAAATAAGTTCGGAGTCAGTTACGCATGGGGAAATATTAGCACCCCCACAGCGTCAAAAAATTGGTACCTAGTTGATTACCATATATTTAGAATCGAAAATTTTGAGTTTGAACTTTATCCAATTTAAAAATCATTACAGATGCAAATTTGAAAAAAGTATTTGTATATTAAAGCCAATAACATTTGCCCCTAGCATGAATGCGGGAGATCAACTATTGTACCCAATAACCAGACATTTCCTTAATATTTTAAAATCATGATGCGGTCTTGAAAATGATGTCGACCTATTTCAGGAATCACTAGTATTCACCCCCTGAGCATACTTGTGGGAGATATACTATTAACTCCATAATAAGTGAACATTGCCTTGTGTTTGAAAATATACACAATCAATCAGTTAATCGATTATAATCCTAATTTTACTAGGTGAGTTTGTTAAAGGGTTTCTAACCTAAAAGTTGTCAAATTATGTAATTAAAATTTAGAGGCCTAAACCTAAAAATGTAGGCTCTAATACTAATCCTATTTGAATTTAACTTGTTATAAAATCAAATAATTGAGATGGTTCATTTAGCATTTAGGCAAGGTCCAACTCATATTACTCCTCAAATTAAAGGGACTAAATTAAAATCTTAATATAAAGTAGAGGTTCTAACATTAACTTAAATTAATTTTAATCAATATTACAATTCAAATAATTGAAGTGAAATCTTGAGTAAAAGCGAGAACCAAATTAAGAATTCTTCTAATTTAAATACTAAAGGTGAAATTAGGCCTAAGATGGAGGATCTAATATTAATTATAATCACCTTTAATCAATTATTGATTCGAATAATTAAATTGGAACCTCGAGCACAAGCGAGGACCAAATTAAGAATTCACCTAATTTAAGGATTAAATATGAAATTAGGCCTAAGATGGAGGCTCTAATATTAATCCTAATTAATTTTAATCAATTATGGACGATGGAATAATTAATTCGAAACTTAGAGCATAAGCGAGGACCAGATCGAAAATTCTCTAAAATTAAAATTTTAGGGACCAAATTTAAAGGAGTCTAAATTTAAGGATTAGACCAAAAAATCTAAGTAATCTAGATTAGTAATAAAATATTCTAAATCTAAATCAAAAGTTTAATTTAAAACCTAAAATTCTAAGACTATATTAAAGGAATTGAAATTAAAGACGAAAAATTAAAAAAAAACAACTAACACGTATAAAAGGATCGAATTGGAACAATTTAAAAATGTAGAACTAAAATTTAAACATTGAAAAAAGAACTAAATTAAAGAAATCAGAACATAAAGTTTAAATTAAGAAATTGCAGAAAATTAAAAGTTGAATTTAAAGGATTGAAATGTAAATGATGAAAAATAAATTACTCGAATAAAAAAAGGTTAGGGTTAATTTAATTGTTATTCGAGCCATAAATAATACGAGTCATACCCCAAGGAGGGTCGTCGTAAGGTCGTATTAAGGTTTAATATTTGAATGTAAACCATAAGGGACCAAAATGCAATAAAATAAAATAAGAAAACAGTAGTCATATCAGAAATAAAAAAGTGACTAAAATGCATAAATTAGAACTATTATATCCAAATCATAAATTAGATAAAGAAACAGAGTTCAAACAGTGGCTAAAATAAAAAAAAATATAAAATTTAGTGGTTAATTTCAGAGAAATAACATAACAACATAGTGACTAAATTTAAAAGAAATAAAACAGTGTCAAAATCAAAATAAAAAAATATACGGTGACTAAAGCGTAAAAACACGCATAACTGCACGGACCTGAAAGAAATTTAGCCAAAAATTAGTATTAAAACACAAAAATAGAACATAGCAAATCAAAGACACTAAATTTAAGAAAATAAATGAAATATATTGAAATTGGGGACCAAATTGAATGCATGAAGAAATAGAGAGGATTGCAGAGAGGGTTAGACCCACTGGACCAAAATGCGTAGGGTGGCCAAAACGGCGCCGTATTTCTTTGTGTATAAATACCCTTTATCACCTTTTTTTTTTCATTTTTTCTCATTTCATTTCCTCCATTTTTTTTAGAGAAATAAGCTCTCTCTTTTCTCTAAGCCTCCCTAGAATCCGACAAGAGTCCAGCCGTCGACCGTCGTTGCCGGTGGTCGTTGGCTACCAAACTACACCAGTTTGCTTGCCCCGATATCGTGGTCACGGATCTGGGCTCCATCTTGCACGAAACTACCTCCAACGTCATGAAATATGACCGAAACTCTTCAGCTTCCTCCCCCGATCTCCACCGTCTAGTGTTGGATCGGCTTGACTTCGAAATATGTTGCTCACCGACCTCTCTTCTCCCTCCTGACCGTTCGGATTGGCCAAAGGAGATCCCGATCGCCAGTGAAGCTCTGGTCGAAGGTAAACCCCCCTTTTTTTAGCTTTTTTTTTTCATTTTTTGGGTTGTTCGAAAGAAAGAAAAAATATAGTTTGATGTTTGATTTGTTAAACTTTCCTTGCTTGATATTGCTTTTTGAAAATGAGGGGGGAAATCCCTTACACACTGGTTTTTGGGTTTTTATACCTGAGCTTACATAGATGTAATAAAAAATTAAAGCCTAATATACTGCCTTTTAACCATCACTGTTGGTGATGATTTGCACCTTTTAATGCTCTGGATTTTCTGGGGTTTGGTTAGATTTGTTATTATTTTCTTTTTCATGGTGTTGTTGAGGTGATGATGGTGGAATAATGAAGGTGACATGCTTTGGATCAGAAAGAAAATGATGGTGACATAGAGAAATGAACGGTCGGCGCGTGTGGCTCATGCGCTGATGACGCGCCAGTGAGACTCCAGTGCCGGTGGTGATGCGCCGGTGAGGGGAGCCAAAAAGCCACCTTTGGTTGATGTGATCTTAACCATTGGATCAAATCTAGATCCAATTGTTTAGATTCATTTGCGCTTCTTCACTTGGATGGGTGACGTGACAAGCTCCTAGCCCTTGGATCTAACCATCTATCAATGGCTCACATGGATTGTGCTTGTTTGACATTGATTGAAGAGATGATAGCCCTTGGATGAAAGCTAATCAAGGGATGAGATCAATTTGTATTTCTTTACATGGATTGATGATGCCATCATTAATTACACCTCAAAAGTAGCACCTCCATTAAATGTTTGTCTCCATTTAAAATTTAAAAAATATCATCCCACTAAGAACAAAAAAATAGGTGGCTACTCAAAGAAAATGGTACACTATGGTCTAAACATTAGGGTCGATTTTATAATAATAATAATATTTAACGGTTGAAAAATGATGATTACATATGGATTCAAATTAATAGAGTGACATATTAGGTTTTATAATATGTTTAAATGATAGCAAGAAAAAGCATGCATGCATGAATATATTTTATTTGTTTATATGTAACAATCAAGGTTATGACTCCTAGAAGTAGATAATATATATTTTTTATTATGAAATTATGAGATTAATATAATTTCAATATTCTGGATATGATGGTGAAGTCAAATTCTAAAAAAGATATCAGTAGGGGACTAAAATGAAAATCAACCAAAGTATTAGGGTTATTTGAATAATTTTTATTTTTTTATTTAAGGGCATATTTGAATTCTGTTCGATATTAAATTTTATATTTCTCATAGATCATAGAAAAATAATATTTCAAAATTAGGCTCAAACAATGAGAAATACAATTTTGGATTTAAATTGTCATGCGAATAAGGATTTTTTAAATAAAATATTTTATTGAAATTAATTCATGAAATATGTCTTATTTGGCTGTCTATTTTTTTTATTTCTTTAATCAAATTGAACAAAAAATGATGAAACGTGACAAATCGTTAAGCTAACGTAAGTTATTTTATCCTTACTAAAAAGACTGACGTTAATTATTATATAATTTTCTGTTACATCGTTAAAATTTTAAAAAAGTAAAAACAGTAATAAAAAAACCGGTGGCTGTTGGGTTTGAACGCCTGTTCAACAACATGGCCAGCTATACGCTAACCAACTAAGTTAGGCCACTACTAGAAAATTAAAATAATAAAAATACATTTTAATTGATACGTTTCAGATTGAAATACCCGAAAACCATCTACCCCATATCAGAATCAAAAACCCAAATTCCCAAATTTCTCAAAACCCCTAAATACCTAAGCCACCGTCGCACTCACTATCGCCAGACAGTCATCTGACCGCCGTGTAGATCACCGCCCTTATCAAAGTGATCGGCAACCTCTCACGACCAAAATCCCTCTAACCCTCTTGCCTGGGTACGCCGTCGTTTTCCGTGAAGAAGAGTTTGAACGTTGTGTCAAAATCCCTAGCTTTCACAGTTGTTTTCGTCGATTATGGCCACCATAGTCGGTGTTTCGTGCTTCCCTTGTTGTTTCGAGCGAAACCCAACCGACGATGTTTCTAATCGTCTCGTTTTTCTCCGGTCGTCGTCGGTGAGAACTCCGGTCATTTTTCGTGCATTTTTTAATTGTTTTTGGCCTGATATTGAGTTACTTTTGGAATTAAATTGATGAGTTATAGCCTTTGGAGTAATTGGGTCGCCTCAATTGGCGTTTTGACCGCGGCACGCGGATGCCAATGCGCGTGGGGATTCTCGGTCGATCCAGGAGCCTTCTGGAACCGGCTTGCTCAGACCGAACCAGTCCAGTCACACCGAACTGAGTCAACTCGACTGGTTGAGTCAACTTGACTGGTTGAGTCAACTTGACTAAGTCAACCTATTGTCTTTGACCAAACCTGACTGTTGATTTTAAGCAAACCTGACCGAACCTAGCTCCTCTTGATTTGTTCGACCCTTGAGCCCGTGAATACCCGTATGATTCGTGAACCTTAAAAATATTTAGATTAAAATATTACTTCAATAATAACTCTGTTTTATTATGATCTAGGTTCAAACATTGTTGTGGAGCATAGAGAGGCATGTGCTCAGTAGACTCAGAGACTGATCCCCTTTTTGCAAGATGTGTTCCATATGTGATATATGAATGTTTTATCTATTTTGAAAAATATGATTTGTTATCTGGTTGGTTTACGAATATTTTAACTGTTCGACATTCTGATTTACTGATTTATTGTTTATGAACTATGGCTACTTGCACTCTAGTTACCTATTTTCATTGAGAAATATGATTATGCACAATTTATGGTTATGGAATTTACCGATTACTATATAAATTGTTTTATTGAGATATTATTTGGGTAAGATTTTGGAGTATGGAGGTTCAGCTCTGATCAAACTGATAATTCCTTACGGAGTTAAAGTAATCCTTGTATAGGCTTCAAGGCCTCAAGAACTTTCTTGAGTAGTCTCTTAGGCCCCAAGATACTCTCTTAAGTTGGCTTCTATACTAATGGGTATAAGGTAAGTCCTTATGCATGTAGTTCTAAGGAACTGTATTTCGGTGTACGGGAGGATGGTAGTTATGAGTTTTATAATATAAAATTCACTATGACTTTTATGATACTTTATTGAATTGATTTCTGAATATTTTCTCATTACATTTTATTTTAACTATTAAAACACATTGAGCTCCCTAGTTCACTCCTTAAACTCTTTTCCCCTTTAAGATACTTTTGGATAGACACCCCTGACTTGACACTTGGAGGATCGACACATCACCTATAGTATTTTTTGTAATGTTTCTATCTTCTAGACTGTCTTTATTTGGTTACATGTGTCTGTATTATTTTGTGCTATATGTTTTATGACGTATTTTAATTTACTACTAATGCACGAGTTTATCGTGATACTTGATATTTGGTATATTTATGGCATTCTATAATTTGTTATACTCTTGGTATTTTATGTCTTATATTATTTGATTTAACTTATTTAATATTATTATAATTTTAAATTATTTTGATATCATTAATGTAATCTACTAGATTTAGTAATAACGTATAAGTTGGGTCTAGGAGGTTACACAAAGACCTAAAGAGACAATAAAAATTTTAAAAATTAAAATGAATAAACTAGTAAAATTAAAGGGGCGAAAAGGTCATTCTATCTAAAACTAATGCTAATGGAATTAATGTCTCCAGTTTTTAGCACATCTAATCTCTAATATCAACAATAAAAGATTAATATTGGTATGTACTTTCTAATATGGTCTAAGAAATCGGACCTAGAAGACGACAAAGCCTTCTGTTTATGAAAATTATTTAGGCCCATTGTTTATTTAATATTAGTGTAGTATTATTCTTAAGGGCAGAATACTTAAATGATTTCTTCATTATAATATATTGTTTTGTTGAGTTTTTCAACTATTGAAATTTATAAAATAGATCCCGATTCTAAGACGTTATTTTATTGAGTCCCCGACTATCAAAAGTTACAAAATAGTCACTCGACTATTTATGTGTTCTAAACTCGTCATTTTTCGTTAAAAAAATTTACGATCGTCTAAACTGGATGCTAAATGCTCACTGAAATATGATAAAATCTGATCCCAAAACCATTTGAGCTATATTTTGTGGATTGAGTCTCTGTTTACGTTATGACATCGAACTAGTACTTGAAACATTATGTTGTTGAGTTAACGCTTAAAAGCAACGACATTGATCATACACATTATTAAAATATGATTTTATCATATATTGATTAGCATGTTAATATCTAATTCAGACGATTATCAATTTTTTAACAGAAAATTACAAATTTTGAAATATGAATAGTTGAGTGATCATTTTATAACTTTTAATAGTAGGAAGACTCAATAAAACAATATTTCATAATCGATAAATCATTTTATAACTTTTAATAGTATAGAGATTTAACAAAATAACGTTCTATAATCAACAACTATTTGTATACTTTACTATATTTTAAAATTTGATTTGAGAAGTGTGCCTCGATATATTCACTGTCAAACTCCAAAGACCTAGACCAAAGCCATCCTTCAATATCATAGAAATTTTAATCACCCAAGACCTACACCCAAAATACATATAGATCAACCAAAATATTTACCGTTTGATTTATCGAGTTGATTCAAGTGGTATATAGTTTGATATTGCTTTAGATATAAGACATAGATTGATTCGAATTAACTAAGATAAAGTTTTGAAATCAGAAGTACAATCAATATATAGGAAGTTTTACTGTGCGACAACCTTAATATATAGCTAAGGAAAGACGCTACCGGTTTTGTTATTATTTTTTTTAACAAAACCAGTTAAAAATTACCTAAAACATTATTATTTCTACCTGAAACATTAATGTTTTTAACATTTCCGGTAGAAAAAATAAAAAAACAGGTAGAAAAAATAACAAAACCGGTAGCGCTTTACCGGATATGTTAACAAAATCGGTAAAGCGTCCAATAATTACAAAACCAGTAGAAATAATAATATTTCTGATAATTTTTTACCGATTTTGTTAAAAAAAATAATAAAAAAATTAATAGCATCTTTCTTTAACCGTATATTAAAATTGTCGTGACGTGAGACTTTTCTATTGTCTGACCTTTATAATTCACTTATTTACAATCATACATAATCCTAAGGGTATGTTTGGTTCACGGAATGTAATATTACCAGTAGGAATAAAAGATTACCAGGGAATAAGATTACTGTGAATGTTATATTTTATGTTTGATTGATTTAGCAGGAATGTAAGATTACCGTGTTTGGTTAAAAGAATAAAAGATTATTAGAATGTATATTTGATCAAATTGTCCTTATTATATATTTGTTTTCTTAACAAATTGAAAACTATTTATATATTTTCTTAAAAAAAATTAAATTCATAAAATTTATATAATTTTTTACAAAATTGAAAATATAAAAAGGTTTAATGAAAGGGTAAAATTTTATTTTAACCCCTGAACTTCATATAAAATTTTAATTATAGATTTTTTTTGTAAATCTAAAATAGTTTAAGGATAAATTTATAATTTAACCTTTATAGAATTTTTATTATTCATTGACAGAATAATGATATTTTTGAAAGAAAAAAATTTAAAGATATTTTAGTCCAAAACGCCGGTAATCCAATAATACTTAAGGAAAGTGAGGTAATGACATTCCTGGTAATATACCCCAAAAATCCACTATTGGTAATGTAAGATTACCGGGAATGACATTCTCAACCAACCAAACGGATGAATGTCGATTTCATTCTTATGAAAATCTCACATTCCTCTAACCAAACACACCCTAAATGATTGCATGTTCCACTTTGGGTTGGAAGTGGAATGCAAGCAGACCGATTTGATGGATAATATGACAATGGAAAAGACTAGGACCTAATTAATATATATACATATTATAATCTATAAAGTAATGAAATTTTCTGAGATAAGGTCATACACAACGCACTATCTTCATCTTGGAAGTTGGAAATCAAGTACTACTAATAGTACCCTTCAATTTCCGTGCCCAAATGGGAGTATGGGCGTGTTGGATTCATTTTTTTTGGGGTTAAATATGAATAATTTTAAAAATTTATGGGGAAAAAAACATAATTTAATTGTATACAATGATGAAATGAGCTGACCTAAAAGCCAAAATTTATAAATATATTTTTCGAGCTGTACAGCACCATCATATATGAACCAAAATTCTCCAGTTTTGATTATAATCACTCCGCTGTTCTCAACATAAATGAACTTAAAATTTGATGCTAGGAAGTTTGAATTTTGAAATATTAAAAACTTAAGAGTACTAAATGAAAATTTTAAAAAAATATAAAATTAAATTATCAATAAAAATATTTAAATTATATAAAAATTTAAAAATTTCAAGAAAATATTCGCACCCTAACATCAATTTATCCTTAAATGCCTACTATAATTATAGAAGGATTGACCTAAAAATAAACAATAATCTTTAGGAATTCATTGGTATTTACCAGAAAATGGGTTGTTGGAAAGAAGAAATCACAGAATAACCTTATTTCTAGGTTCATATGAGTATATTCTATTAAATTATATCAGTAATTGAAGACACCAAATTTTGTCCTTTGATATTATATAATATACTTATATTATAGATGTTGAACAAACATTCACGTATATTTATTTTACATATCACAGGCCCCCCAAACAGCCCGTTACATGGCCCAACAATGCTCAGTACTCCAGACCCAACAAGCACTTGACCAATAATAGATTAGGGTTTCCAAAACCCTAAACATCTTCTGCCCCCAACTGCCAAGTGCCTCGACCGTTGGATCGAGATATGATCCAACGGTCCACGATATGAGTCAGATAGGGTTTCATTCTTAACTCTTTGCTCCAACGCCATTCCTCACGCATCCCCAACCTTCGAAGACCCATCACTGCACGTTGCTTCCTCAACAGCCAGGTTCCCCGCCGGTTTTCTCGGCCTGCAACAAACGTGAGTCAAAGTGACTCATTCACAACCAACCAAATGACTAGTCAGAGTCGTGGAGCATCAAATAACCGAGTTTTACTCAGAATCAAACTCTAGAAATAGGTTTCTTTGGTACTTATAAATAGGCATGTAACTAGAACAATAGGGGACGGAAAAAATACCTAGAGATTGCACGTGAAATACTGGAAATACGCAAGATCCAAAGCTTGTAAACATTCGAAAGGAAAGAAATAAAGAAATGCAATACCTTTTTACCTTTAGTTCGGCCGATTCTTCCTTGCATGCGTGGTTGCCTTGTTATATTTGCTCGAAAAAACAAAACTTTGGCGATGAACCAAGTGAGACCCTTATTTTTGAAACATTTTTTTCTTAGATCTATGCATTTCCAATGTGTTTTTGAAGAAACCAACTCTGTTTTCGAGTAGATGAGGAAAAAAGCTTTTAAAAAAATATATTCTTTATGTGTTTCGCCGCCGATGACGGTGGCCGGCGCCGTTCAATGGCGGCCGGTGAGGCGACGCAATGGCTTTTTCTGGGTTTACACGGTGGCTGTTCTTCACGAGTGAAGAACACTCAAGAACATCAAGAGAAAACGAGGAAAAATGAGGCTTTGATTCGGTTTATGAGTGAAAAATGAGGAACTTGTGTTTGGGTATTAATATATATAGTAACCCGTTTTGTGAACTGTGACCCGACCCAACCTCTTACAGCCCGCGTGTTTTGAACATAAAAGGGGGGAATTCGCGTTTTGGTCCCCCTTTCTTTAATTCTTCCGTTATCACCCTTAATT